GAGTATGTCTAAAAGAGAGTAGTTAAACAGAAACAAATGGAGAGGTCCAGAAATGTTAAAAAAATTTAAAAAAGAGAGAGAAACATTTGATGGATGGTCTTGTGGAAAAGGGCATAAACGTGTGCTGTGGGTCTCACAGGACAGAGGTGGGGGAATAGGTGAGGCGGAGGATGAGGCAGTAGGATGCATGAGGGGAGAAACCAGCGGTCCAGCCGGGGTGCTGCGTCCTGAGGCCGGGAGCCCCTTACTTGCAGGGTTCCGTCAGACTCCGGGCAGCCATCCATCAGGCAACGGCTAGGTCTCCTCCCAACTCTAGGAATATATGAGATGCTGACCTATTTTCAAGCCAGTTTTCCTCACTGGCTCATTTTTTCTTCCAAACTGACCTGTGCCTGTAAATTAAGACCGTCCGTGTCTTTAATCCAGCTCTTCAAAAGCTGTGTATGTTCACAACTGAACTGCTGAGCCCTCGCTTGGGGTGTGGGATGCTCTGTAACCCATTCTAAGGAGCTGTCACCATTCCTGCTGCTGACTAAGGAATGTCCTCCTCAAGGCCATGCCCATAACTCTCATCATTGCCACAGGGGAGGAGAGGTGGCAGCTTGAGGGAGAAAAGGAAGAACGTAGGAACCGTCTCAGCCAAGGTTTATATCAAACATACGGAAAGAAACCAAAGATGCCAAGGGCTTTAATGTACATTATACTTTTACAGTATTGTCTGTACTATTGCATGTTCATTTTAGATCATCAAAAATGGGCAATAACCCCGTGAGGCCAGAAGGGCTGGGGTCTCCCTTGACAGATGAGGAGACTGAGGCACAAGGGGTTTTTGGACCACAGAAAGAGTAAGAGACGGAGCAGGTCTCAAACTCCTATCTTCTGAGCCTGGTGCCTGTTCTTTACAGTCGACCCCACTGTTTCCAGCCCACGGTTTTGCCTCCTCAGCGTCAGGAAGTTCTTTGCCTCTCTTCCTCTTGGCTGTGCTCTCATTGCTGCCACACACTGCGCCCCGCACTGCCGCATCCTATTTCATCAGTGTTACGCAATCTATGTCTTGGTCTTTAAATATATGTTCAACGTCTCTGTTACTCATGAAGCCATCAAGACTGCAGTGGCTCCAGTCTCACTAGTCATATGCTTTCTAGCTCCTGAGCACCTCCTCTTCTCTCCTGTCTTATTCCAATATCATTCCTTTTGGGGAGCAACCTGAAACTAGTCTTTCTTGGATGCCTACCTGTAGGCCCTCAGTGGTGTTTCTGCGTGTTTCACATCCAGTGTGGCACGGAGCACAGCAGGACGAAAGCAGGGAGAGCTTAGTGTCAGAGAATCAAGGAGACACATGGTGGGCCAGGATTAAATCCAGGAGAGTCGATTAAATCCAGAAGTGGATGCGTGAAATAAGAACCAGGGATAAGGAGTAGGAAAAGTGGATGATGTTGCAGGGGACAAGCCTGAAGGAAGCAGATAGTTTCCTGGTTTGTCTGGCCTAGGGAGGCTTTGAAGGGGCCAGGTGCGACTGTCTCCTTTTGCTCCACAATGTCTTAAAGACACCACCTGTCACCTGGCAGATGACTGATTCAGCAGCCTGGGAGTTCACAGGGGTCCAGGCTGCCTTGGACACAGCCCTGTTGACTGGAGCCAAAGCATCTCACACAACAGGGATAGGTTAAAGCCACCAGATGTCTTCACACCCTAAATCATAGAGAAAGTCGGGATGGGAGAGGAATAATTGACAGCGTCCCTGACCAAAACAGACACCTTGTCACAGCATATTTAGCGGAAAATACATGGAAAACAAAAGCTGAATTCTCCATCCAGGCTGCAGTACCTAATACATCACCGCCAAGAAGAAAGCATCTAATAAAAGCCTCCTTTAAGTTTTGTCTGGAGCAGGTGCTCTGTGGAGCAATTCGTCAGACAGCGGCCCAACCCCCAAGCTCACAGCGCAAAGCAAACAACAACCGTTGATGCGAACAAACGGGCACCGCCCATCGACCCAACGAATATTTACTGAGCACACCTACTATGTGCCCGACACCAAGCTAGGCTCTGACGTTACACCAGAGCTGCCCTTTAAAGTTTCCAAAGCAAGTTCACATGCACAATCAAATCTGATCCTCATGAAACCAAGTGACGAAGGTGTTGTTATCCCATTTCACAGATGGGTAAACTGAAGCTCACCAAATTCGGAGGGATGGTCCAAGACTATATGACTAGTACTTAGTATATAGCATAGGCCCATGACCAGCTAAACTTTTCTGCATTGGGAAAGAATCTCAGGGAACACTTGTCCTTCATGTCCTTGGACAGCTATGGACCTTTTCCTACCTGTGACAAAAGCCTGTCCTCAACCGCCCCCTCAGAGATCTCTGCGCTCCCCCTCCTACACTTTTTTGGTAGGAAGGGTAAGGTATCAGTAAGGACATGTTCAGCTTCAAGCAACAGAAAACTAAAAATGACAATCAATAAAGACAAATAACAAGACACGTGAAAGCAGGCAATTCCAGAGTTGGCATCTTAGCTCAAAATTGTCATAAGAGAAAAAAAATATATTGTCCCGAAAAAACCTAGATCTTTCTTTCCTTCCACTCTACCATCCTTAGGCTTGCCACTTCCTGGCTGTAAAACAGCTGCTCCAGCTCTAGTCTTGCGTGCTCCCAGGACTCTGTCCAAAGGCAGATCCAGGTCACAGGACCGCGCAGCCACAGGGGAGCAGGGAAGGCAAGAATCTGGAATTTGCTACCTTCCTCACAGACGGGGGCACAAGGGGAAAAGGGGGAGTGGCTCCTGGATAGCCAATCAACAGCTTCTGCCACGGTAACTTTCTGATTCCTGATCAGGGTCAGCGCTGAAAACGAATTCCTCCTGAGCAGAAATACGGATCTCTTGATGCTCCCTATGGGTAGCTTTCTTAGTTTTCTATGGCTGCGTTATAAATAACCACAGGCTCAGCAGCTTTATTTTCTCACAGTCCTGCATGCCAGAAGTCGGGAAGGCCTGAGTGGGTTCTTTGCTTAGGTACTTACAAGGCTGGAATGAAGGTGGTAGCCAGGGCCGGAGGCCCTGAGGGAGAATTCACTTCCGGGCTCGTTGTTGGCAGAACGCAGTTCCCTGCTGTTGTAGGACTAAGATCTCAAGGGCCTTGCTGGCTGTTCACCAGGGTCGCTTTTAAGTCCAAGGCCACTCTCCATCCTTGCACGTGGCTCCCTCCATCGTCAACGCCAGCAAGGTGTGCTGAATCCTTACACTTCCAATCTCTCTGACTTTCCCTTCCGCCACCGGCCAAAGAAAACTCTGCTCTTAAGGGGACCGTGTGATTAGATTAAGCCCACCCAGGTACTCCGCCTTTTGCCATAACCACGGGTGTAAGACCAGAGGGTGAAGATCATGGGAGCCATCCGAACATTCTGCCTATCTCACTTTCCACTAAAAAGCAAAATCAGGGTTTATTCTTGGAGTTCAGGATAGGTCACCCTTATCCCAATCACAGCAGGGGCAGGAGGACTCCCAATCAAAACCAGGCTCAGCAACAACAAAACTGACGGAGAGAATGGCTGCTGGGTGGGAAACCAAGACTGGCTGATTTGATCAACTTTTTTTCTGTAAAACTGAGATATTCACCCTAATTTAGTTACACAGTGGAATACCATCAAGCAGGTGGATTTATACACACACACACACACATATATTTTATGAGAATATGGTGTGTAAGGACCACTGACCAAGACAAGGATTCCTGCTTCATTTAACTTTGCCGGTCCCCCCCACCTTATCCCCATCATCTCCTGAACCAGCAACGTGTTCGCCACGTGGACTCATGAAGAATGCTGACTGACAGGGAGTTTGATAGGGTTTTCTTATAAAACTATTGACTGTGGGTAGATTGCTCATGTTGATTTTTAACTGGTTTGTTTCTGTTATGCAAAGGGGAAGGACAAGGGTTTACTGCAAGAGGAGGCCCACCCCTCCGCACTGGTGCAGAGCAGAACCTAACGCTGCCCACCGTGTTTATGGTGAGCCTTTGCAGGCCTTTCCATGTCACATACCCTCGCCTCTAGGAGATGCCTCATTCCAACTGTTTCAATGCGTTGTTTTCTGTTTCACTGCCTTAAACTCAACGCAGACCACATGTGTATTTTATTTCAATCAGTTTTTCCTGCTTTATCACCTCTATTTGGATTTCACTTTGTTTTTCCTCCACCAAAAAGTCTAAAATCCCAAGTCAGCTGTCTCTGAGGAGATTATGTGTGTTTGCACAAGGACGTGGAGATCCTTAAGAACTACAAATTATCAACCAGGATCAGCTCAACGCCTTCCAGACTTCTTTGCTTTCATGGAGGCCTGTGTTTACCTTTATTTTAAGTGCCTTCAAGGCCCTTCTCTTGAAGCACCTTGCCTTACCAGGGGCTCCGCTCGTTTGTTCGCATTGCCTCCTTTACTCTGAAGAACCATCAATCAGTTTCTGAAACAAAGCAGCCTCTGTGCAGAATCAAAAGCCACCACATCGCCCCTGATGGCAAGAGGATGCAATGGGCATTGTTGTTGGTACACAGGCCTTCGTCTCTTTGAGCAGCACTTCTGTTTGAAATGAATGAGGCAGACATGAGTGGTGGCTTCAAAAGCGGCTACCCTCCTCTGGGCTCTTCTTGTTGAAAGTCCTGAGCAGCTCTGTTACTAGAAAGTAAAGAAAAGAAAAGGCAAATCTGAGGCAGGCTGCAGGTTTCCTACACAAGACACTCACACCTGGCCTCAGCCAGGCTGTGTGGCTGGACATTTGCCTTTACTTTGTAGATTTGTGTTTGCAAGGTTAACGTGAGAGAGGCTGTTTATTTTCTCCCAGTGATTATGCATAAAAATTACACATACTTCCCTCACCAAGAGCCCAGCTCAGAAGTATGACAGGCTCCTCTGTTGGCTTGTGCCTCTTAAGGGTGTCATTGCTGGTAGGAGTAGAGCTGCCATCACTATTGTTGCCATGGTTACGGCTTCTGGACCAGGGGATTGGCTGATCCTTGGCTCAGCTCTTCTACCCAGCTACCATCTCCTCTACAGCAAGAGGCCTCCTTCTTCCCTAGTCCACTTTGTATGTGGCTGGAATGTTAGAGAGCACATAGTTTTCCATGGTACTTCATGACCTTTCTTAGATTCTTAACGACCCTAATGTTGAATAGGACCTAAAGTCTTGGGCTAGTGGAAAAGTTAAAACAATGTTCAGGACTCGTATCGATGATCATCCTAATAATTGGTTTGAGCATCGTCACCTTCCTCTTTTATCTGCAGAGGGTTTGCAATGACTGCTTGAGAATTCAGAGCCAAATATCTGGCCCGCAACTGGAAAGCGAAAAGGACAATGCACCAGGTAATTGATGTATAGCTTCATTCATGAATTCACCTTCTTTTTCCCACCCTACCTAAATTTATTTTTAATATGTCTTGCATTGTTTGTATCTTTAAAAAGTGCCTTAAATCCTTTTGAAGCAAGGCTAAATATAAAGAAAATATAAATATATTCCTCAGAAATCCATTGGATTTTTGCTATTAGTTTGGAAGAAAAAAGTACAAAGGTTTTTCTGTCCGGAAAGGGAAAATCACATAATGCAAAACTCCTGGAACACATTCTGTGTAAAAATCAAGTAGAATAATTTAAATGTATATTTTCTGTTGAAGAAAAAAATATATACGTGGTGCTCACTTCAGCAGCACATACACTAAAATTGGAACTATACCGAGAAGATGAGCATGGCCCTGCTAAAGAATGACACACAAATTCACGAAGCATTCCATATTTTTAGACGTTGTCAAAGGGTACAAAGTCCCAGATATAAGATAAATAAGATCTAGGGATCTAATGTCTAGCATGGTGACTATAATTAACAATTCTGTATAACATACTTGAAAGTTTTTAAGACAGTAGGTCTTGAATGTTATCACCATATACACAAAAAATCATAATTATGTGGAGAGATGGAGATATTAACTAACCTTATTGTGATAATCATTTTGCAATGTATACATGTATCTAATCATCATATTATATACCTTAAACTTACATATATGTCAATAATATCTCAATAAAGCTGGAGGGAAAAATACCTCAACTACAGAGGGGAAAAAAATATATATATATATACACATATGATTGGATTCAAGAAAACTGGAATTTCTGGTACAAGGGAGGGATAAGGACATGATACTCCTGGGCCAGCCTGGGGGGTGCAGCAGTTAAGTTTGCATGTTCCTCTTTGGTGGGTGGCCTGGGGTTCACCAATTCGGATCCCGGATGCAGACCTATGGAGCACTTGTCAAGCCATGCTGTGGCAGGTGTTCCACATAAAAAGCAGAGGAAGATGGGCACAGATGTTGGCTCAGGGCCAGTCCTCCTCAGCAAAAAAAAAAAAAAAAAAAAGAGGATTGGTGGCAAATGTTAGCTCAGGACTAATCTTCCTAAAAAACAAAAGGGGGGGCATGACACTCCCAATCTCAGGGAAGCCCCTAAATAATTAGGGGCCTGCTGTATGAAAGCCGCTAACATGTCTGTTCAAATGCCTGGGGTGGGCCACGGGGACATGTCATTACCATCAGGGAGGTGTTTAATGGGTTCTGGGAATCCCAGTTTCTTGCACACAGTAAAAGCTTTACAAATATATGCTGAATTAATGGAAAAGAGAAGTTAAAAAAAAAAAAAAACATGATGCCTGTGTGCTAAATAAGTTCACAATCTTCAAATTAACTCAGGTAGAAGTGATTTAGCGGCACCCAGAAAAGTGGATGCTATAAAGGGTTTAGTCCTTTTAATCCTCTCAATAACGCTTTGAGGTAGATGTTTTTTATCTCCACTTTTTTTCAGATGAGGTGAAGGAAGGTTAAGTAATTTGTGCAGGACTAAATAATCAGTAAGTGAAAGACCCAGGATTTAAGCCCAGAGCCGTCTGATTCTAAAAACAGACTATCCCCTGGGTCTAATCGGATATTTCCCAAGCTTTTCTAACGTAAAGGACTCAGACTGGAGGCCCCACCTCAGACCCGCTGTGCCAGAATCTCAGGGAGGATCTTGGAAGCGTATGTTTAACAAGAGACGAGATGATGACTGTCGTCAGAGCAGCACTTGCTCTGTTGCATCAGGTGGGAAAGGAACCCGCACCTCCCCTGAGTGGTCAAATAGAAGCCACCAGAGATTTGACGCTCGTCCAACTGAAAATAGACCACGTCATTCTGGAGTTTATCACATCACAATATTATACAATATTTATTCTTCAGTTGGTAATAAAGCATTGTCTGATTTAAGGTTATCTGGATCCGAAAACACCAAGACCATTTTGAAAAGTTAAAAATGGGCTCTATTTTAAACCTCCGACTTTTTAGCTTTTCTCTCTGCCCCTCTTTGGTCCTCAGGAGCAGAGGCGACTAAGAATCAGTTTCGACTTCTCGCAGCTGTCATTGCAGCCAAGGTTCCAGTGGGTGCAGGGCTGGAAGGAGAACCACAGGCTAAGACTGGGTCCTCACATCTGGCTGCCCAGCAGACGGCTTTCACAGGATGAGCAAGTGACACGATCCGGGAAGTCGAAAATCCATCCTCGCTCCGTTTGTTTTTCTTAGTTTCAGTTTTTCCGTGCCTCCTAAGAAGAGCCGAGGCTGACTAGGTCTGCAGCTTCAATACCCATCAGGAGAGCAAACGGCTTCTCTGTACCACCCAAGCAATCAATTAAATGGAGAGCGAGGCAGCGATTCCTGACGTGGCAGAATTTTAAGTCCAGCTGTGAAACTCCACAGTGCGGCCAGAAGTAGACAGACAAGTTGAACCGAAACCTAAGGGGCGCTGGACCACTGCCTCTCAGCAATTTTATTGTAAGTTGTTCCCGCTGTCTCAGAGAGAAATTTGAGACGTGGTTAGAGAAAAGCATGCAGCTAATTACCCCCATTTTGAGCATAGATCTTTGTTTTAAGGGACTTGCTTTATAAGCGATTGCCAAGAACCTTGCTTTGAATGATATTTCCAGGCATGCTATTTTTAATAGCAAATAATGGCAGTTACATCTTACAAATAATAGTTTAATATGCTTCTATTCCTGAGTGTTCTTGATCTCATAAAATCTTAACAACAACTCTGTGAGGTTGGTACTCTTCTTAACGCGATATTACAGATGAGGAAACTGGGAGCTGCCTCACCGGGTACTTAAGTACCTTACAGGAAGCACACGGCTCGTAGCTGAGAGCCCAGCTCGTGTAGCTACACCGTCTGCATCCCAAAGGAGGCCGGAAACTAGGCCATTCATTTCTCAAAAGACAGATTCTCTTAGTGGATTAACACATAAGACCCAACAATATGTTTGTTTCTTAAAAATAGTTATTTATAACAAAAAGGTGCAGGAAAGCTAAAAATAAAAAGTTTTATTGAGGAAACTCATACAACAAAAAGAAAACAGTTGGTAAAGTTGATATCATATAAAAGAAATTTTGAAGTCACAAAGGTGGAGGGAGGGTACAAAGAGGTTCGTGATTATAATGAAAAATATAAAATCAACAGCGAAGCCATGGATTACCAAAGTTAGAAACGCAAAGAGAAAGAATAAATAAGAAACAACCAATTGTAATGGGAGGTGTTAATTCGTTATCAGGCTAAGACGAAAGTTAGACAATTTTAAAAATTAAATAGACAAACAAAAAATTTAGAAGACATTGAAGATGTGACAAAAACAGATATAAATTTGGAAAGTAACATAGAGGTTATGAATACTGTACAATTAATAAGTTAGAACCAGTAGACACACACTGAACTCAAAACAACATAGACTATACATTCTTTCAATGTATAGGGCATTGGTACGTATATACTAACTCTCAACTAAGGCCCCAAAAATGAATTAAGAGGAAAACTACATAGATATATTTTCTCACCACTATGCGATAAAACTAAATGTTAATAATATAAGTAAAAACAATGAAAGGAGCCTTGGGCAAAATAGTGACCTAATCTATCACCTTGGAGGCAGAATGTCCAGGGTTTGGATTATAACTCCACCCCTTACTGCTGTGTGACCTAGGCAATTTACTGAACCTCTCTGAACTTTGGATTCTTCATCTAAAAATGAGGCTCTACTTTGCAAAGTTGTTATGAATATGAGCTATAAAGTCTGTAAAATAACATAATACTAAGACTTAAAAGAATGCTTAAACCAAATGTCATACAGGGTGATGCCATATTTTTAATGTACTCATATTTTATTTAACTGTAAAAAAAGTCCAGAAGTTTTGTTGATTGAAAGCAAAAGTCTAGAAAATATACATCTAAATACTAACAGTGGCTATCTCTATGCCCTGAGACTTCTGGTGATTTTTGTTAGTTTGCTTTATTTTTCTACTATGAATGTATAATAAGTGCTCAATAAAGCAATAATAAATATGAAAATGTGAACTTCTTTAGAACATAGTAGGAGATAAATATTAATTATAAAGTAATATTAATATTAATAAACAGTATATAATAATATTATATACTGTTGATAAATAGTAATATATTGAGTGCCCTGTGGGTGGGGGTGGTGGTTGCTGTACACATGCAGTCATTTCAGTTGTTGCCACTATCATCGTCGTTATCGTAAATTCTAAAACACTTTTGATGTCTCTCTGTCTCTCTATATACACATATATATTATAAATAAAATAAAATATAAATTTGAATAAATTTTTAATTTAAATATAAATTATAAATTTAGATTATATAAATGTATTTACCTAAATATGAATATATATCATATACAGTATATATTATAGTATATATATGCTATCTGTAAGACAATATTGGGATGACTGACAATTTGAATATGCACTATGGAATTAGATAATCATGTTATCACTGTGATTATGATGAAGCATCAATAAGAAACTTTCCAATTTTCTCAACTATTAACTTTCCTTTTTTTAATAAGAGAAAAATGTCTATCTTAGGAAATATACTTTGAAATATTTAGGTATGTATGCATGTACATCTGCAACTTATTTTCAAATGGTTCAGAAAAAGCTTAATATGTAGAGAGAGAATGAATAAAGCAAGCAAGGAAAATATAAACTAATGATGAATCTGGGTAAAGGGTACAGGAGTTCTTCATACTAGTCTTTAACATTTCTATGAGCTTAAAATTAAATAAAAATAAAAATTTACAACAACAGACAAATAAATGGATGACAACTTCTAACAACAGCAGCAAAGTTTCTGTAAGCAACAGGGCCAAGTAGGAAATTAACAACCTGTGGAATGCTGTAAAACTGAAACCACCACCTAGCGACGTGAGAGGCGTGCGAACAAATCAGGGCCAGCGGTGAAGACGGGGTGCATTGTAGGAATACGAAATCAGTGAACTAAGCACTCGATTGAAAACCTTATAAAAAGAAGAGAGTCAACATAAGGCAAAATAGAAAATAATAAAGGTGAAGGACAGAAATAAATACACTGGAAAGCAAAAAATCAGAGGAAATAATAAATTTAAGTGCTCCTTCTCTAAAAAGTTTGGAAGATAGATTAAAACCCTTGGAAATATAATAAATAAAAGAAGAGGCATAAATCAACAAAGTTAAAAACAAGACTGGCAATTTAACAATTGATATAAAGGATTTTAAAATATAAATGATTGAAATGCACAATTTGTGATAATCAATTAGAAATGTTTAGCCAAATGGACAATAATACAAAATATAAAATAAATTCGCAAAACAAGATGTTGGAAACATGAAAATAATAATGAAGAAGGAAATTGAGAAAGTTATTAAGGAAATACCTCACCCACCAAAAGAAAATATGACCTAAACAAATTTACTGAACAGTATTTCTACATGTTCAAGAAACAGATTTTTCCATATTACGTCATCAGTCCCAAATCATGGAAAAACAAGACCCAACTGGTCCTAAGAGATAAGAATCATGCTCATCCACAAATCTGTGAAGAGCCACACACACAAAAACACATCATCTTAGGATGCCAAATGTGCACAAGTGCCAATTCCAATAAAAGTGGTTTGAAAACATGACAACCAGACTCAGGCACGTAGTAGATTGGTTGTTGGATAAATGAATATATGGGTATATGAGTGAAGAAATTAACGTGGTCAAGTAGCAACATCTACTAAGGCAGGAGTGGCTTGTGTGCACCATCTATTTGCTAACTTTTATTAATCACTTTATCCGGGTCAGGCCCAATGAGCATAGGCAGAAAAATCATTTTTAACTGAGCTTACAGAACACAGCTGAACAAAAGAGTGTGAAGGCCGATAAAGATAAATTCTAGGAATGCCGAAAGATTACGACAAATCATGGAACACCTTTTATCAAAGAATTGCTGATTTTTATTTATTTATTTATTGGTTTGTTTATTTTGGTGTGACTTAAAACAAAAACAGAAGAAAGGAAGACTCTAAGGATTGCAGAGTGACAGAATATACCATCCCAAAATATGCCACTTTGGCATAAGGACTCCTTTGAGCTAAAGGCACTTGAAAAACAGCAGGTGTGAGAAGAGCGTTCTAATCTCCCCTTTTCTTCCTCAATCAGGAGAAAAAGAGTCCCATGTGAAGGATGCCCTCCCAGCACCAGGGGAAAAGAAACATCCTTCAAGGAGGAATAAGCTGAGAGAATCCTGCACACACAGATCTTATTAAAATAATTCTTATCTGCCTTCAGCCTCCCTGCATAATTCATTACTTTTCCACAATTGCCTCTCTTTGCTCAACCCAGTATAAAAGCACGTAGCGTCTGCCATTGCTTTCGGTCTCCATTTCCTTATGAGGGACGCTGTGTCATGTAAAACTTATGCATGTTTGTCTGCTTTTCTCCTGTCAGTCTGTTTCAGGTCAGTTTAATTCTCTGGCGTGGCCAAAAAACCCTAAGAGGATAAGGGTAAAATGCTGCCTCCTCTACGGGATGCTCCTCAAGGCAGAGACTGAGGAATCTGACTACACGAAAATTTAAAACTCTATTCAGCAAAACACCACAGGCAATGGGAAAAGACAAAATGCAAATTGGGAGAGGATGTTTGCAACACGTATAACCACAAAGACTTAAAATCAGTAAGAAAAACACTAACGAACGAATAGAAAAATGGACAAAAGAACCATCAATTCATAGCAGAGGAAATTTGAATGACCAGTGGCACACATAAAAAGATGTTTGATCTCACCAGTAATCAGAAAAATGCAAATTAGAACAACGAGATACAATTTTACGTCCATCAAACTGGTGAAAATGGCATAATCTGACACTATCAAGTGCTGGTGATGACGTGGAAAAAATTGGAGAAACATTTGCATTTTGTGGATGATGTGTTCACTGGTGTAACCATTTTGGAGGATAAATTGTCAACATCCAGCAACACTGAAGACATGAATATTTCGCGTGCCAGCAATTTCACTTCCAGGAGTAAACTCTAGAAGCTCTCACTTGTGGACAGCCCAAGTGCATTGCAACATTGTTTATAACAGCAAAAAATAAACAAAGTAAACCACACAAACATTCTTCAACAGAACAAATTGTAAATACTCCTGCAATGGGACAATTCATAGCAGTTTTATCAACAGAGATAAATCTCGAAAATATAATGCTGAGTGAGAAAAAAAGTTGCAGATAAATAAATCAAGCATAAAAATTTGTAAGCATACAAAATAATGTTACAGATTTTATAGCTACCTATATAGCTACCTATATACGTTGCAAACATATACACAGATGACAATGATCTCTCTCATTCTGAGTACCAGACTCAGGATCAGGTGGCCTATGAGAGGGAAAAATGAAAAGAGACACACAGATATCCAGGTAGTTCATGTTTTAACAAAAGAAAAGAAAATGTTAGGATTTGATAGATCTGAGTAGCAGAGTGGTATTCATAAATATTCATTATGCTATGTGTTTGAAATCACTAAAATTTTCTTAAATGAGCACCCAATTTTAAAAATATATCAAAAATACAAAAATATATAAACTAGTATATAAAATATATAAAAATCATTAATATATAATTCATAAAGAAAATATCAGTCAAGATAGTGGTGGTGGTAAATTCAACTTTAACTCACTAATAAAAAAAGTTTAAAAATACATATACCATTTGGCTTATCAATTTAGCATGAAATTGTGAAAATGTTAATAGCTAATGTTAACAATGGGAAAGGATGGGATGGAAGGGGAGAGCACACCCATTCACTATTGATGGGAACATAAAATGATACAAATTTACTTAATTTAGCAGGATATATGAAAAGGTAAAATATATATGTACCCAGATTTTTTTTTATTGAGTTAATGATAGGTTACAATCTTGTGAAATTTCAGTTGTACATTAATGTTTGTCAGTCATGTTGTAGGTGCACCACTTCACCCTTTGTGCCCACCCCCCAACCCCACCTTTCCCCTGGTATCCACTAAACTGTTCTTAGTCCATAATTTTAAATTCCTCATATGAGTGGAGTCATACACAGATTATCGTTCTCTCGCTGGCTTATTTCACTTAACATAATTCCCTCAAGGTCCATCCATGTTATTGCAAATGGAATGATTTTGTTCTGTTTTGCAGCTGAGTAGTATTCCATTGTATATATGTACCACATCTTCTTTATCCATTCGTCAGTTGCTGGGCACTTAGGTTGCTTCCACGTCTTGGCTATTGTAAATAATGAAGCAATAAACATTGGGGTGCATAGGACTTTTGGGATTGCTGACTTCAAGCTCTTTGGATAAATACCCAGTAGTGGGATGGCTGGATCGTATGGTAGTTCTATTTTTAATTTTTTGAGGAATCTCCATACTGTTTTCCATAGTGGCTGCACCAGTTTGCATTCCCACCAGCAGTGTATGAGGGTTCCTTTTTCTCCGCAACCTCTCCAACATTTGTTACTATTAGTTTTAGATATTTTTGTCATTCTAACGGGTGTAAGGTGATATCTTAGTGTAGATTTGATTTGCATTTCCCTGATGATCAGCGATGATGAGCATCTTTTCATGTGCCTATTGGCCATCAGTTATCTTCTTTGGAGAAATGTCTGTTCATGTCTCCAGCCCATTTTTTGATTGGGTTGTTTGATGTTTTGTGGTTGAGTTGCGAGAGTTCTTTATATATTATGGATATTAAGCCTTTGTCAGATATGTGACTTGCAAATATTTTTTCCCAGTTAGTGGGTTGTTTTTTTGTTTCAATCCTGTTTTCATTTGCCTTGAAGAAGCTCTTTAGTCTGATGAAGTCCCATTTGTTTATTCTTTCTATTGTTTCCCTTCTCTGAGAAGGCATGGTGTCCAAAAAGATCCTTTTAATACTGATGTCAAAGAGTGTACTGCCTAC